CTAGAGTGCCTAGAGCTCAGAGATCAATTGTTGTGCCTGTGACAAACACAAGAGAAACTTCATCTGCACCTGCTACAGCTTCAGTGCCACCATCTCCAGCATCTACTCCACCAGCTCCAACTTCATCAACTGATGCCTTCGTCCTTGGAGTCATATCTACACCACCACATCAATACCAAGCCTGAGAGACGACATAGTACTATGCATTTTCTAGGAACTTTTTGGTAACATGTTGCCAAAGGGGGAGAAAAATGTATAGATCATAGGCTTCGAGAGAGAGAGTTTGCTTTTGTTCTCTCTTGTTTTTCTTTGTGGTTGACCTTTGTTTGCTTTCGCTTGCTTCAGATACTTTATTGCATGTGTGATACTATGATGATCATGTGTTTGATCATATGCTACATTAATGCTTGTTGGATGATATTATCCTTTTATCTCTATATGATCATTCATTTTGCTTGGTGATGAGTGCATGTATTTTGATTATTATCATTTTTAGCGCTCCACCAAGATGTATGCGACATGGAAGAGTAACTCATGAACCTAACTCTATGTGCATTTGCAGTCCAAATCAAATCTTAAACTATGCACAAATTTAGGGGGAGCTCTCACATTTCACATACTTCTCAAAGCGACAATGTTTTTCAATCTTATTATCATTTGTCGAAGCTTTGATCTATATGTTGTCATCAATTACCAAAAAGGGGGAGATTGAAAGTGCAACTATCCCTAGGTGGTTTTGGTAATTCCTAACAACATATAGCTCATTGAGCTAATACTATTCCAAGACAAATATTTCAGGAAAGCTCAATGAATGGCATGGCATGGATGAGAAAAGTGGACCCAAAATGCTTAGGATAAAAGGATTGGCTCAAGCTCCAAGCTCAAGACTCTACATTTTATATTTTAGTGATCCAAGATCACATTGAGTCTATAGGAAAAGCCAATACTATTAAGGAGGGATGAGGTGTTTCTTAATGAGGTTCTTGCTTCATAGTGCTTAGTGATATGCTCCTAAACCCTCAACTACTTTCCCACATCCACATATGACCTAAACCTAAAGTCCAACTCGGCCCCACTGATTCTTTCTTTCCGGCGCCACCGAGTTCAGATGTCATAGCCACTACCACAAACCCTAGGCAAATCGGTCTTACCGATAGGGATCTCGGTCTCACCGAGATGGGATTGTAATCTCTCTGTGTATGTCCATTATCAAAATCGGTCTCACCGAGTTTGTGTAATCGGTCCTATCGAGATTACAATGTAAACTCTTTGTTTCCTTTTCGTGAAGTTTCGGTCTCACCTAGATTAGCGAATCGGTCCCACCGAGTTCACCTGACCAACTCTCTGGTTAGCTTATTACCAAAATCAGTCTCACCGAGTTTGTGTAATCGGTCTCACCGAGATTATGTTATGCCCTAACCCTAACCATATCGGTCCTACCAAGTTGCATGTCGGTCCCACCGAAACCCTAACGGTCACATTATTTACTGAATCGGTCAGACCGAGTTTCTTGATTCGGACCCACCGAGATTGGTAAATTGTGTGTAACGGTTAGATTTTGTGTGGATTGCTATATATACCCCTCCACCTGCTCTTCATTCGTGGAGAGAGCCATCAGAACAAACCTACACTTCCAACTTACCATTTCTGAGAGAGAACCACCTACTCATGTGTTGAGACCAAGATATTCCATTCCTACCATATGAATCTTGATCTCTAGCCTTCCCCAAGTTGCTTTCCACTCAAATCTTATTTCCACCAAATCCAAATCCTGTGAGAGAGAGTTGAGTGTTGGGGATACTATCATTTGAAGCACAAGAGCAAGGAGTTCATCATCAACACACCATTTGTTACTTCTTGGATAGTGGTGTCTCCTAGATTGGCTGGTGTCACTTGGGAGCCTCCGACAAGATTGTGGAGTTGAACCAAGGAGTTTGTAAGGGCAAGGAGATCGCCTACTTCGTGAAGATCTACCGCTAGTGAGGCAAGTCCTTCGTGGGCAACGACCATGGTGGGATAGACAAGGTTGCTTCTTCGTGGACCCTTCTTGGGTGGAGCCCTCCGTGGACTTGCGCAACCGTTACCCTTCATGGGTTGAAGTCTCTATCAACGTGGATGTACGATAGCACCACCTATCGGAACCACGGCTCAAAAATCACCGTGTCTCCAAATTGCGTTTGAATTCTCCAAACCCTTCCCTTTACATTCTTGCAAGTTGCATGCTTTACTTTTCGCTGCTCATATACTCTTTGCATGCTTGCTTGAATTGTTTTAAGAGTGCTTGACTTGTGCTAAGTTTGCTAAAATCTGCCAAAGACTAAAATTGGGAAAAGGTTAAGGTTTTAGTTGGTCAAGTAGTCTAATCACCCCCCCCTCTAGACATACTTCCGATTCTACAAAGGCTGAGGAGACTGGAAGACATGGGGAAGAAAGGAGAAATCCACTGCCCTCTTATAGGCGGTAAAAATGCCAACCGTCCCCCCACTTGCACCTTGACACTCGCCTATTCGCAATGAAAGCGTGCGTCGTAAATGGTTGGATTACCCAAAAATTATTGATGAGTAATCCCGTATTAAGTGGGCACGATCTCTGTTTTGATAGGACGGGCCAATAGGGCTTGTCCTCGAAACACGGAACGCAGGATGTGAAAATAGTTCGACAGTAAAAGACACTATTCTTATTTTTTTTATATCCCGCCTTGGCGGGTAAGGGTTATGTTAATTATGCAAAGACGGATACAATTCTTTTACGGAGGAAAGATGATGTGTATTATTCAGGGAACCTGCCTCCCAATGCCGAAGATACTCTGCGCGCCGAACACGTCATCATTGAAGACTGGTTCAGGGGCTACTGAGGGAGTTCTGGACTAAGGGGTCCTTGGGCGTCCGCTCTATTGATATGGGTCGGGCTGATGGGCCATCAAGATACAAGGCAGAAGACCACCTCTCGTGTCCGGTAGGGAATCCCGTATGCGCGGATGGCAAGTTTAGGTGTTTGGATATACTATTTCCTTTCTTTTAGACCGACTTTGTACAACCCTAAGCCCCTCCGGTATCTATATAAACCGGAGGGTTAGATCGAAGGCAGGATCATAAACATTACTAGGCTAGCCAAGCTAGGGTTAGCCAATACGATCTCGTGGTAGATCAACTCTTGTAACCCCTATACCCTTCGAATATAATCAAGCAGGAGTAGGGTTTTACCTCCATTAAGAGGGCCCGAACCTGGGTGAACATTGTGTCCTTTTGATCATAGTTACCATCGATCCTCAGACATATAGCTTGGGCCCCCCTACCCGAGATCTGCCGGTTTTGACACTGACATGGTCCCCTTCATTAGCCAAGCAAAGCTTCCTAATAAACACCCCTTGTTGCTTGGAAGCATGCGAGCCCCGCCCAACTCCGCGCGCGATCCTCACGCTCCTCCTGGGATTTGAAGTTGGTTGCCTCCTCTGCCTGGGGCGCCTTTTGGCCACGAGTGACTCCCTGACATGTGGCCTAGCAAGAATTGGGGAGGGTGCAGTCACAAGTTCCGTACGTAGCGTCTCCAACAGGTCCATGCGGCTGCATGGCGTGCATGGTTCTTGCCCACTTCGGGTCGGATAGGTGGCAGTTCCCAGCTGCTGCGCAGAGAGGCTGATCTGCACCATCTCCCAGGCCAGATCTTGCCTACTACCTCCGTCTAGGTGAATAAGTCATTCGCGTAGTTGTAGGTCATCGATTTGAGCAATTAAATATATGTTATATGTCATGAAAAGTATATCACTAGATTTCTACACGGATGTAGTTTCTAAATATATATATTTTGGTACATATAATACATATTTAGATAGTTAAATCGTCGACCTAGAACTACGCGAATGACTTATTCACCGAGACGGAGGTAGTACCGTGGATTGGCGCATTGGTGGGCGTGCAGAGCTCTCCGTCCAAATGGGCATCGTCCTCCAGTGGCTCCAGCATCGAGGCCGGGTTGTCGTGGCCTGGACACAACAAGTGGGTGTTGCCGCAGGCGCCAGACAAAGGCAGCACCATGGACCCGACCAGCATGGGGGGCGGGCCACCACACGCACCCAACACAGCCGGGCCAAACGACTCCCGAGCCCGCACCGATCCCGAAGGCAGCATGCCCACAGACGGTGGGGACGCCGACACCAGGGCCCCAACAATCTGCACCGAAGGCTGACCGCCCAATCCATCACACGAAGCGGAACTCTCCAGAGCCCGCCTGTCCACTATCCAGGCGACCGTTGAAGATCCGGTTCACCCGGTCAAAAGATCCACCTGGCCAGCCACTGGCAGTCCAAACCTGCCCTGCTCTGCCTCCTTATCCCCGACGTCAACCTGGGCCCTGCCGCTGAGGCAAGGCTGGTCCACCGCAAGGGGGTCCAGAGGAGTCGAACGCGACGCCGACGAGCATGATGATATGATGATTCTAGTATTGTTTTGTTGTTATCGTTTGTAAAAAGATAAATTGATGCGATGATACTATCAATATGTTGCTACTATTACTTGTGAAAACTGAGGAAAAACAGGGAAGTGCTGGCAATTGTTTTTCAAAACTTTGTTACTTGTTGTGCTTTTAGTCTACTTCGGTTCTGTTCTGTTAAAACCAAGAACCGGACAAAAGATCTGGTTAAAAATCGGTTCTTGATTCATTAAAAAAAAACGACAGCACAACCCCGTCCGCGAGTCAAAAAGAATGTCCAGGAGGCCTAGTTGTAGATTATATACTCGCTGCCAAGCTACACTTATCGATCAAGAGTAGTATCCGGCCGCGAGTCACCTCTCCAAGGGATCTCCATCTTCTCCATGAAGAAGCTCAAATTCACGCAAACTTTTCAAGAAAGGAATAAAGGCAAGCCCAAGTATTGCACGAGGCTTGCAACCAAGGAGAAGCCGGCCGGCTTTCCCTCTCGCTTCGTGCAAAACAATTAACATATATATTCATCTCACTCTCATCCATGCCTCCTCACGCTGGCGAACTGTTTCGATCAACGCATGTCCATGGATCCTGTCATGACCAGCAGCAGCAGGAAGAGAGAAGGCCACGGCTGCAAGGAGAGCTGCCATGGCCACTGCCTACCTCCTCACTCTGCCAAATGCATCTGCCTCTACCTCCTGCTCGCGCTGATCCTCCTCGTCCTCGTCGCGGCCGTGCTGCTCGTCGTCTTCGTCACGAGGCTCGAGAAGCCGACCTTCTACATGCAGTCCGTCCAGATGGACAGGTCGTTCAGCCTCCGGCCGTCGTCGTCCAACCGCAGCGGCGACAACGCGTCGTCGTCGTGCTCGGTGGCGTCGCTGCTGTTCGCGGCGCAGAACCCGAACGGGATCGGGATAAGGTACAGCGCGGCGGACCTCGGCGTGGGCTACGCGAACGAGTCGGTCGGCGCCATGGACGTGCCGGTGTTCTACCAGCCGCCGCGGAGCAGCAACGTGACGGTGCTCATGCACGCCGTGTTCGAGGAGTCCAACGTCAGCCGGCTCGTCGTCAGCGAGCTGTCGGCGCAGAGGAAGCTCGTCGAGATCAGGATCGCCGGGAGCATCGACGCCACCACGCACATCATGAACTTCCCTCTGCCAAAGCTTCAGGTACGTTCAGACTCCATACTCCTACCATCTTCAGAAGTTCATTTGTTTTATTGAAGTATATGCTCACTCGTCAGAAGTTCAAATTTTCTGAAATTCAGTTTGCCTGAATTTCGTGGTGTTTTTCAATTGCAGTTTACGCTCGATTGTAGGATAGCAACTAACTACACCGACATAGTGCTCCGGGAAGGGATCGAGTCTGCAACTATACGCAAGGTATTTGTTGACTGATAGTAGTTTCTAACTAACATGTGCAAGCTTGTGTCTGAAGTCAGGACTCAGAACAGTGATCTTCTTGCAGGCAATCCAAGTATCTGCATTGCCCCACATCTCACAGAAGTGCTCTATAAAGCTTGACATGGGGTCGAGAGGGAAGAGGACAAGGCTTGCAGATTTAGGATGCTGATTTCATAGAATTTAACCCTTTTTTTCAAACTACTCACTCCGTAGTGTAAAAGAACGTTCTTATATTATGAGACCAAGCGAGTAGAACGGATTTATGTACATGTTTTTTTTTTGCGAATATGTACATGGCTATTTTAGACTTAGAAGACTATTCTTTGCGTAGTATGCTCCCATGCCAAGCAGTGTAACTGTAACTGTAAATGATACATCTATTTTACTTGATTGTGCTTCACTGTAAATGTTGAAAATGCGTAAGCAATTGGCTTGAGCTAGTCAATCTATGAAGAATCAATTACACCACTGGTGCTAAAAACTTGGCGCAAAAAAGTCACTTGCCAGAACTTATGGCATACATTTAATTGGTGCCACAACTTAGCTTTGGTGTGCATATACGGTGTAAATCGCGTCTGTATAAGAATATGGTGCTGACTAGACGCGCCAGCGTGGCATGAAATCCGCTGTCAGCCACCGAATGACGGTGGCAGGGCGTGTGGCATGTTATTTTGTGAAGAAAAAAGCCTTGGAATTTTTTTGTCATGGAAAAGCCCTGCCTTGGCGTGGGGGATCGTGACCGTAACCAACGCGGCAGGCGGAGATCCTAAGTGGTGTGGGCCAGCCCATTAGAAGGCCAGCGCTCGACCGCTCGACCTATTTCCTCCCGGTCGCCCGACAGGAACCCCTATTTGGTGCGGCGACTATTTCTCGCCTTAAGCGAGTCGAGAGGAAACTCTCGAGCGCTCTCGCGAGTGGGAACACCGCTAAAGCTAACCACTGCGCCCGCTTCCAGTTACTATTTAGTAGTAGGATCGCGACCTACTAGAGGCAGCCGGAGTTGGTATTCTCCATTTTTTTCTTTGTTTTTTCATTTTCATTTCTTTTTTTTCTTCTCTGATTTTTTCAACTTTTTTTTTTCTTTGTTTATTTTTTCCATTTTCCATTCTTTTATACATGTTCAACATTTTTCAAATAATTGTTCAATATTTTTCAAAGAAATGATCAACACTTCTTCAAATAATCATTCAAAAAAATTCAAATACTTGCTTAACACTTTTATATACTTGCTCAACTTTTTTAAAATACTTGTTCAATATTTTTTCAAATACTTGTTCAACATTTTATATACATGATCAACATTTTTTTAAATACTTGTTCAAGATTTATTTCAAATGTTTTTTGATGAGTTTTTTTGTAATGTATATATTTAGAATATTTTAAAGTATAAACAAAAGTGCAGAAAGAAACTAAAAAAGAAACAAAAAAACGTAAAAAAAAACAGGAAAAAAAGGCTGTGGCCTCCCGCTCTTGTGGGCTGGCAAAGCTCACGTGCTCTCCCGCATGAGAAACCTCTTGTCTCGCATAACGCGAGAAATAGGGGCGCCCCTATTTGGGACCTCCTATATGACGCTCGCTACGGCTAAAGGTCGGCTCACCTGGACCTGCCCATTTGCAGTGGCAGGTGGAGGCATCGCGTTCGCGAGACGAAATAAAGGCAAAATATAGGAGTTTCTCAAAAAAGAAGGAAAAAAAATAAGAGCATGCTTGCGCTATGACGCAATCCCACAACCTCATAGCAAGTTGCGTGTTGAGCTAGCCGCTGCACCTGACAAACACTCGTGATAGATTTGTAGCGCCAAATAGAAATAGAACGACGGTGGCAAAACAAAAACAACAGCTCCCAAAAATTCCCAAAAACTAAAGTTTGTGAGAGGCCTCGAACCAAAGACCTACTGCAAGTGCTCAATGGAGCCAGCCATCGTAATTCCTAAAAAATTGGTGTCCAAAATGGCAGCCCGGTTTACATGAACTTTTTTGAATTTTCGAACATGATTTTCCTTTTGATATTCTGAACGAATTTTAAAACTATAACATTTTTTGAAAACAGAACAGGAATCTTAAACATTATTTCAACAAAATTTAAAACATAAGCTCATTTCAAAATTTCAAACAATTTTTTTAGAAACAGAACAAAATTGTAAACCCTAAAATGTCGAATTTGTGAACAATTTATTCAAAACCTAAAATTATTTAAACTAGCGAACAAATTTTGAAGATATGAACATTGATTGATTTTTTAACAAACTTGGAAAGTGGGATTTTTTTTGAAATTTACAAACATTGCTTGAATTTGTGAAAAAATATAAAAAACTATTTTATGAAATTCCCTAAAGCATATAGAAATATTAAAAACATGAACATTTTTCGAGTTTGTGTACAAATTTTAAATGTGGGAACATTTGTTTGAAATTGCTGCACATTTTATTAATTTTCGATTTATTTTCTAAATATGACCATTTTTAGAATTTGTGTAAAATTTAAAAGTGGGAACATTTTTCTGAACCAATTCTAGAAGTGGAATAGTTTTTAAGAATCAGGAATATTTTTTGCACTTTTACGTGATGTGAACAATTTTAGCTTTGGAAATATAAACTAAAAAGTGAAAAAAAATTAAAATTCTAAAATATTTTTCGAATAAAACAGAACAAAAATTGACATTCTAAACCTGTTTTGAAGAATTGAACATTTTTGGAAAATTTAAATTTCTGAAAATTTGAAAAAGAAGGGAAAATAAGAAGGAGAATGAAAAAGAAGGGAAAGCAAGAAAAGAACATAAATAAAGAAAGAAAGTAATGAAAAACTGAAAAAAAAACATAAAAGAACCAGACTGGGATCAGTGAAACGTGCAACGGCCCAGCCCATTTAATCCCACAGTTCGCTGTGTTTGTGTGTTTGCACGACAACTTGACGCAGTAGGTGTCGTATATGGTTTTCCCTCCTATTTGGCGCTTCCAGCGCCGCTTGGAGCACCGGGTCCCTCGCGCGCGACCCCGAGCGGGCCAGCCCAGCAATCTCCATGAAAAACAGACACAAACAAACAAAATATGTTGGCTTCAAATATGGGAGAGGTGGGAATCAAACTCACGTGCCAACGTCATTGGCCAACAACTCAGCATGATATAACCACTGGACGAAGCCAACTTAGTTGTCTACAATGCGAAAACTGTGCTATCTATTTCTTTCTTTGGACAATATTAACATATATTTTCAAAAACATAGATTTTGCAATAAAAAGTGCACCAGCATGGTAAAACGTGAATTTTTTTCAAAATTTCATAAAACCCAAAAAATGTTCATCGATGTTGAAATAAGTTCATCAAATTTTGAAAAAATTACAGGAATTTAAAAAAAATCATCTACTTTGAATAAAAGTTCATCAATTTTGAAGAAAAGTTCATGGATTTTGAAGAAAAGTTCACAATCGAGTATTACAAAATGTTCACAGATTTTCAAAAAAAGTTGACAAATCTGAAAGAAACTTTATCGATGTTGAAAAAAATTCATCGAATTCTAAAAAATTAATCAAATCTGAAAAAAAATCATCAACTTTAGAAAAAGTATAGCGATTTCAGAAGAAATCATTGCTTTTAAAAAATCATCGAATTAGAAAATGTTCGTGCATTTTGAAAAAAGGAAAATTAATAAAGAAAGGGAAGTAATTGAAAATATTAAAGGAAAGACAGAAAAAGAGGAAAAGGTTAGGAGCAATCACATCATGTGCGTTGAGCCGAGTGGTTAGTGTAGTTTGGGTAGGAAGATGAGGCCGCAGATCCGACTCACCGTGCGCGCTACGTTTTAGCAGTATTTGTTTTTAAAAAAATACACAGATATGGGTCGGTCCACCGCGGAGGGAGGGGTGTGCTGTTTAGGAAATGTCGTGCTCTATCTTGTTTTAACCGGTCACGAAATCTTCAATCATTGACATTTGAAAAAAATACGAAAAAATGAGAAATGTTCGGGCTTAAAAAAATGTTGACAATTTTTAAAAAAAAACACAACACTAATTTTTTTTCAAGATTTTGAACAAAAATGTTCATCATATTTGGAAAAAGTTCATCTAAGAAACAAGCGCCTTAAGCACCATTTAGGAAACGCCGCACTCGATCATATTTTTAACGGTAGCGGTTGGATAGTTGACTGGTTAACTGATGACTTTTGGAAAAATATATGCAAAGAAAAAAAAAGTTCATGACTTCAAAATCTACACAGATTTTGAAAACAATTTCACAAACTTCAAAACAGGTTCATGAATTTTAAAAAACTTCATTTAATTTGAAAAAAGTTCATCAAATATGAAAAGAAAGTTCGTTGATTTTAGGACAAGTTCACCATCTACTATCCCTATAAAAGCACGAGAGGACGGAGAACCAATTCAGCCTATCCATTGATGCAGCAGATCACACGGCTCAAAATCATCCCGCGTTTAGCGTTAAACAAACGCCGGTCTCCCCGCTGCCCACCTCCGC